TAATAATAATAATTATAATGACGAAGATGAGGATGACGGTGATGATGAAACCGTAAGAAATTCGTTTGTGAAACTTTTGAAATTCAAAAAAAATTCTTTTTTAATCTTTTATTCATTATAAATTTAAATTATTTAAATTATTAACACAATAAGAAGAAAAAATGATGATAATGATGGTGATGATGATGATAATAATAATAATAGTAAGTTACAAAATTCGTTAAAAAACGACGATGGAAAATAAAAAAATTTTTTTTGTTTTCGCGGTTATTAAAGTCATTATTCAAATGATTAATTTTTTTTTTTTTCGTTTTCGGAAAATCGTTCGAAAAAATTTATTTTTATTTTAAAATCTAATATAATAATAATAATAATAATAATAAAATGTAAAAACTTATTATTTCAATTTTAACTACGGGGGAAAATCATTATTTTAAACGAAGCGTTAAAAGAAACCACAGAATAAAAGGAAAAGGTAAAATGTCGAAAAACGGAGGATTCCATTTTGATAAAATTAAATGAAGGAATGTCAGTTTTCGAACACAAACAAAACGAGAGAAAAATTTAAAATCTCAAAAAGGAAAAGACAAAGGAAAAAATAAACAGTTGAAAATGGTTATAAGAAAATGGTTACGACATTAATTATAATAGACCCACAATTGACTCCGTCTCGAGGGAAATTTTTTGTAAAAAAAAAAAAACATTTTAAAATCTTTCCAAATTTCAAATAAATAATTTTTTAAACAAAAACGACGAATTTTTATTTTAACGACTTCAAACGGAAACGATAAAAATTTTAATTTCCGGTATCAAAGGAGGGGGAGGGGGAAAAAAGGAAAAGAAACGATTAACAAAAATATGTTAATTGGTAGTAAATCTGTCTGATGGAAATCCATACAATCAAATCCTAAGTTTGATTACGTCATCAGTACAATCGACAGTAACCGGATATCATCAAGGAATAAAACCGGAAATAATTCACATTGAACCGGAACCGGAACAACAGTGAACCGGAAGGCGAATTTTTTTTTTGAGAAACACATAAAAAAAAATTAAAAGAATTTATAAATCCTTAAAAATCGAACGAAAAAAAGGTAAAATTTAAAATTCAAAATAATAATAATAATTAAAAATGGCGGTGGAGGAAGAAAACGAAAAAAAAGGAAAATTTAAAAAAGGAAAAAGTTTAAACCGAAAAAAAAAAAACAATTTATTTATACGTTACAAACGTCTCGGCAGATTAATTTCTAACATTTTTTTTCTTTTTTCTTTCTTTCTTTTTTTTTTTTTTTACATAAATAAATTTAAAGCGGTTAAACAAAAAAAAAAAGTTCGTATGTTCTAGAAGTTTCTTTTTTTTTCTCTGTGTGTGTGTGTGAATAAATTCCAAATTTAAAAAAAAAAAAATAAATTTGTTGTCTAATTTTTAGAAATTGAACGGAAAAAAAAAAAAAAATGGAGATCGGAAATAATTCGAATATATAAAAAAAAAAAAAAAACTTTTATCCTGGAAAAAAAAATTCTGTTTTGGAATATTTTTTTTTTTCAAAATAAAATACTGGACTCTTTTGTTTAATTCCAAAAAAAATTTCCCGGAAAAAAAAATTCAAACAATAAAAAAAAAATGAAAATAAGTCACTCGAGTTTCTTTTGAGTATATTGAAACAAAATTGGTTTTTATTATATTTATTTATAATTTTATTTAAAAAAAAAGAGGATTTATTAACTTTTTCTATTGATTTTCTATCGATTATTGATTATTTATTCGTAAAAAAAGGTAGAGCAAACAAAAAAGAATAGAAAATAAAAATTAAAATAATTTTTTTTTTTAATTTTTCACTTACTTACCTCTTCCGTTTCCTGATCCGGTATCATCATCTGGATCTTCACCTTCCGTCGCTTGTGTTTGATGTACTTTTGGAATTTCTATTTATTACAAAAAAAACATAAAATTAATAATTTTTTATCGATACATAACTCATTTAATTATTTAAACAAATATTTTATTGTTAATAACTTACTTATGCAGGGAGCTATTTGACTTCTGCTCTGTTGATATCCTTTGGCACACATATTACAAGTAACACCCGTGACGCCATCTTTACACGGACATTGTCCGGTTGTTTGATTGCATGTTTTTCCAGATGCACCGATGGGATGACAATCGCATGCTGTAAAAAACGAAACGAAAAATTATTTTTCATACGTTCCTCGTATTGTCATAAAATCAAACCTACAACAAAAAGTAGGTACTGGAAAAGGAAAGAAATAGAAAAAAAAAAAAAATTTAACGAGCCTAATCTCCTTAACATCGGCGTGGGTGGCAGGTTTAGTCTATTACATTTCGTGACCTTGAAAAAACTAAAAAAAGTTTAATCACGTTAATAAATTTTTACTTATACCCAAAAACGAGGAGATTTTTGATTACAAAAAAAAAAAATTAAACATTTTCATTTGCTTTATCTAAATTATTATTATTATTATTATTTTCTTTACCTGTTTGAAATCAATCAATCGATTGATCGATCAAATAAAAAACCCCCCTCCCCGATAAAAATTCGTTATTGTTATGCTAAAAATGAACATTTAGTAAACGGCGATAACAAAATAATAAAAATGAATGAATGAATGAATGAATGAATGATTATTAACGCTTAACGCAAAAAATTCCTCGGGCCCTGATAAAATTGATAAGAAGGCGGGGGGGGGGAATTAAATGAATGAATGAAAATTTTATTATTATTATTTAAGTGATAACGTTTTTTAATTACTTATTACGTAATTTAATACCTATTTTTTTCATAGTTTAACAATACTTAAGGTACATGTATAAATTTATTACGATTGCGACGTTGCCTTTTTTACCACACCGTGCACAAGGTATTTAAATGAAAAAGGAAATTTTTCCATTTTTCGTTCGCACGAAAAGGGGGGGCAACAACACCACAAAAAAAAATAAAAATTCAACGTAAAAATTTATTTTTTTCAGGTTGTTGTCGTTTGTTTGTTTGTTTGTTCGAAAGATTTAAAATAACTTTCACTCGTACCCGAAATAATTTATTTTTTAATAAAAAAACTAAAATTAAATATTTTGACGATGTGGGCATAAAATAATCCTTTTTTGTAATATTTAATAAAATAAATCAAGATATATATAAATAAACATTTTTTTTTTGTATGAAATGTCACACACACACACACACATCCACCGCCTTCTTTAATAAGAAACAACCGTACCACCATTAAATATATACGTTCAGGTAAATTCTTTTACGTTCTTCCACATTTTATGTTATAAAAAAAAATTTTTTTTAAATTCTCCTCCTTCTCTATTGTCCTCCATTTAAAAAAAAAAAATCTACGAGTCATAGATTACGAAATCATATCTTATAATTTTGTGAAATATTTTATTTATTTATTTATATAATAATAATAATAATAGCAAATCTTTTTTATAAATTTTTCGGGGATTATATTATTATATAATTAAATGAAAACGATCCGGTTTTAAAAACGGTAAAATTTTTTTTATTTAAATAAATAAATAAATGATTAAATAATAGTTTTGATAAAAAAATAAATAAATAAATAAATAAAAATAACACGTTGTAATTAATTTTTTTTTTTTTTTTTTTTTTTGGTCAAGGTTTCCTCACATAAAAAAAAATTTTTTTGAATGAAAACTACGCGGGAAACCTGAAAAAAAATAAAATAAAATAAATGTGATATCACTCCTGAGGGAGTAAACGACTTGTGAGGTCTTCTGGTGTTAAATTAATTACCTCACTTCGATAACTTATTTTATGGTAGACTGAAATAAATAATAATAATAATAATAATAAAAAGGTACGTAGTATTATAAAAAAAAATTCTCTCTCTCTCTCTCACTCTCTTTCTCTCTCTTATGGTTGGTTTTGAGGTTTTTTTTTTTTTTTTTTTTTTTATAATTACACTTTTTTTGTATTATTGTTCCGCTTAATATTCTCATCGTTGGGTTAAACGTTTCTATGAGGGGTAATAGGGAGGGGGAGGGGAAGGAGGAGGAGGAGGAAATGAGGTGTTTCGGAGATGTGACGTACCTGGAAAATATTTTGTAACTTTTCTTTAAAATAATTTTTGTAACTTTTTTTTTTTAATAATTTTTTTTTTTCACGATTCGTTCGTTTCCCTTCAAGACGAGAAGTAGGGAAGGGAGGGAAAAGGGGAGAAGATGTGGGGAGAGGAGGGAGAAAAAAATATGATTTATGCGAAACAATAAAAAAAAAGAATTCAAATGTATATAACTTTAATATTATATAACTCTATTAAAAAAAAAAAAAATTTTTTTCGTGTGCGAGCAGGTGTATATAATTTTTTTTTACGAATACAAAATTCTAACCCCCCTTCCCCCCAGTTTAAATAAAACGATAAAAATATATTTATTAGTGTGAAATAATAATAATAATAAATTAAAGTTTTAAATTAACTATACGGGGTGGAATTATGTAAGATGATGTAATAACTTCCGGTTAATTTCCGGAAAGTGAATTTTTTTTAATATACAATGCATTAGCGATGGAATTTTTTTAAAAAATTATTATTATTATTATTATTGAGAAAAGTTTTCAAATTAAAACTCTAATGATCACTAAAGGTTGAGTGTGGGAGGATGAAACGATACCCACGCAATCATCATCATTATCTTTTTAAAAAAAAAAAAAAAATTAAGAAAAAAAAAGTTTTATATTATTTTGGCCATAAGTGTAAACAAGGTTTTAAAAATTATGTTTACATTTTTGTTTTATTAACTTATTGTTTATTGGATTCATTTTAATTGAATAAATAAATTGTCGTCTGCTTTTTCCAACGTCATAAACAACATTATCACAGTGCCGTCCGTTAAAAAAAAAAAATAAAAACAAAAAAAAAAAAGTTTTATATACTACCGTGAATAAAATTATAATAATGTAACACAATAAAAACAAAAAAACGTTTCAGGTACATGAGAATTTTTAACAATTTTTTTTTTAAATGAAAAAATTAAGACGTCGTGCCTTAACTATTGTAATCAGGGCCGTAATCAAGATTTTTATTCTAAAAAGAAAAAAAGGGAAAACAAAAGTAATGAAATAAAATTTTTTTTTCGTTTTACTTACGAATTCAAAAAAAAAATAATAATAAAAAAATTAACAAAACGGAAAATGAAAAGGAATTATTATTATTATTATTACAATTCAGTGCTGACAACGTAATAAATGAGAAAAAAAAAATTTGCGGTTTTTTTCGGATTATATTTTAATTATTTATTAATTTAAAGTAAATGATTTTTTTTTTTTTTTAAATTCGTTTTTTTAAATAACTTTTGTTTTTTTTTTTTGAGGGGGGAATGGGGGGGGGTTTACTTACTCTCCCCGGTAATAATAATATTAATAAGTAGTATTAATTTTTTTTTCGTCGAACAGAAGAGTAAGAATAAAAATAATAATAAAAAATAAAAATTTTACTTAAGAAATATTAAATTGGAAATTTTTCAAAGGAAATGCACTTATAAAATTATTCTTTTAATCTCTAATTAAATAATTCAAAATAATAATAATAATAATATTCGTTTTAAAATCTAATAATAGTAATAGAAATAATAATAATAATAATAATAAAAGTGATAATGATAATAATTAAAAAATTTTCATATTTCCATTTTAGAAAAGTGAAAAAGCGAGAGAGAGAAAAAAGGGAACGAGTGAGTTAGCGAGCGAGCGAGGGAGTGAGTGAATGAGTGAATGAATGAATGAATGAATGACTGAATGAATCGCTTTCATCTTGATGATTTTCAATTAAAAACAATACGTTAATGGAATAATAAACTTAAACCGACATATAAGGGGGTAAAAAAAATTTCCTTTGATTTTAATAAAACTAATTATTTCATTAAAGTTTTTCATTTAAAAAAAAAAATTTATTTTCCAAAAGAGGAAAATCGATTTTTCATCCTTTTTCTTTAAGGGGGAGGAGGAGGGAGGGGGAAGAAGAGGTGGAGAAAGGGAAGAGGAGAAAGAGAGAGGAAGAGAAA